TCTGGTGGGAGAGAGGTTTGGGAAACACCATTTAACACTTGGTGCCATGGGGAGAAAGAGGCTCTTTCGTCCTTCTAGGAGCTCCAAAACACCCCTCAGTTTCCCCTTTTTCCCTTCAGGAGTGAGAGGGAAAGGTTGGGACAGGGTTCATGTCCTAGGATCGCGTGATACCACAGGCTAGACACTGAGTCCCACTAAGCTTTAAAACCTCCCTTGAAGTCCCTCAGGAGCTGATTAGGGTGCAGGGTTGTGGGGGGTGAGAGGATCTCAAACTGGGTATATTGGAAATAGTTGCCTGAAAATAAAAGATTCCAAGACTTAAAAAAAAATTTTTTTTTAACTTCAGATTCATGTATGTCCCCCTAATTTTATAGCTGAGGAAACAGCCACATTGGTGGTGGAGAATGAACTTGTCTTACCTAATATGATCACACAGCATTTTCTTGATAGACTAGAGTTGACACTTTACCTTTAAGAGGCAGAGGAGAAATGGATGAACAAAGCAACTAGGTCGCCAGCTTTACAGGCCTGTCTTTCCCAAGATGAGCTAATAATCGTGGAGAATGATTTTCCTTCGAATCTGTCTTAAGGGCTCTCTGGTACACCAAAGGTCCTCCAGGGCTGTGCCTGGTCTTGGGAGCCCAACTAAGGGTGTTCATGTTATAATGTTATTTAACAATGTTCAAGGCATATTATCTTTATTTAGCCTAAAACGGTTAAAATGATTTGATTTGCCTAAGTTCCCACAGCCATGTGAGGAGGTTGACAGATGAGATGAGCTCAGGAAAAGAGAATAAAGCAGGTAGCAATGTGGCTTATACTCCAGGGTCAGGAGCCTGTGCTTTGCTCTCATGTGGAACATTTAGGGGATCTCTGTCATTTCCCTGTTACCCCCAGTTCCTGGGAGTGGCGGTCAACACCTTTCACTTCTTGGCCCATTTTATCCTTCAGCTTTGTCTCCTCCCCCATCGTCCCCGGCTCCCTGCCCTGTACCAGTCACACTGGCCTCGCCTGTGCTGTCTCAACGCACTCTAAACACACACACCACACATAGTCTCCTCGGCCTCCTGCTTCCTCTTATTCATCCTTCAAAGCCTGGCTCAAGTACCACCTCTATAAAGCCTTCCTCATCCTCTTTTGGGCTCATTGCTTTTCTTCCTAGTCCGGTTGCAGGGCCTGTCACATTGTCTAGCCCACTCTTTTTCTGTTTCCCCTTTTACACAAGGAGTCCTCAAGGCCACCACCCCTATTGATTCTTCCCTGAATCCCCAGCACAGTACCTGGCACCGAGTAAGCACACCATAACTGTATCCTGGAGGGAATGAATGGATGGGAAGGGGCAGGTCTTTGACGCTGAAATACCTTGATCTTACCCACTCCTTTCTTCCTTGGAGTACTGACACTGAAAAATTATCTGCCTGTGGAGGAACTCATGCCTGTCCTAGTTCCTGGAGTAAAAATTCCTTTCATTTTCCCTTGTCTCATTGCCTAACACCCCAGACCTCCAGGGCCTGGAGTTGGCTACTTGCTGCTGGCCTCTCCTGGCTTTGATATCTGTCTGCTTGACAGGACACCTACTCCCTACCCACTGCGGAATCTTTATGATGGGCTGGCCTGCTGCAGAGCCCTGTTCAGGCTGATACTGACTGTCTCTGGTGATTTCAGTGTCCCTGCCAATTAAATCCCTTCAATCTTGGTAGTTACAATTACCCCTTCACCTAGGGTGACTGATTCCCTGGTATCCTGAGAATGCTTCTGGCCAATGAATAAGACATCTACACATTTGCTTTTCTGTGCTCATATAGACATGGACATCTCTACCTTCCTGAGTGTTTTGTTCTCCAGGTTCCCAGCTCTCTGAAAATTATGGAGTGGACAGGATCACTGTCTGAGTATTTACTGCATTAATTATACAGTGCTAGAGCACCCCACACAACACTGCCCTAGACTAAGAAAAGAGGCTGAGGCTAGCCCTTACTGGTGTGGCTCAGTTGGTTCGAGCACCGTCCCATACACACCAAAAGTTTGCAGGATTGATTCCCAATCAGAGCACATACCTAGGTTGCGGGTTCGATCCCCAGTCAGGTCAGGGCATGTACGGGATGTAACTGGTTGATGCTTCTCTCGCTCAAATTAATGAATATATTTTAAACATGAATAGACAATTAAAAAAAGAAAAGAGAAGCTGCAGTCTGATGCCCTTGGAATTCACTGGACTGAACAGGTATTATGTTATTTATTTTATTTTTTCATCTTTACCCAATGACATTTTTTTTTTCGTTGCTTTTGGAGAGAGACAGAAAGAGAAAAAGAAGGAGAGAAATATCAGTTGGTTGCCTTGTCATACACACTCCGACATTCTAGGCTCTGCAGGTCAGGTGGTTTTAGCATCTAGGGAAGAATGTTTCTAACCAGGGAACACAAAGATGATTCCACTGCATTTATGTAGGCTGGGCTGATAATGGCCATCGAGGGAAAATAGAGTTGCTACTATTTAATGAGGACTGAGAGGTGCATGAGTGGGACCCAGGGGTGCTCTATTAATCATGGTTCTTTTGATTTCCAGTGAAAGAAATTCCACTCAAGGTAGGCTTGGCAAACCAAGGGCCTTCTTGGAAGGTATACAAAGGCCTCAGGAAACGGGGACTGGAACAGCATGCACACTCTGGTTTTGTTTTGTTTTGTTTTGTTTTTTGTCTCTGCTTCTGTGTGTCAGCATCATTTTCTCCTACTATAAACTGACTTCTCCTTCCCAGGAAATGTGATTGCTATAGCCCTAGGCTCACATCTTCCCTGCTTTGTCTTCCTTTAATTTTTTTTCAGAAAGTCCTAGAGAAGAACTCTGCCTGACTCACCTGGAGCAGGCAGTCTTATCCTGGCACTCAGCCGGCTCCCGTGTGAGCCACGTGGCTAGAGCTGTGGGAGGCAGAGCTGAAGGAAAGGCGGGAAGGAGCCGTTCTGGGCCCCCCAAGCCATCAGATGGCATTATGGCTGAATGGCACGGGAAGATCTACCTAACTCCAGACTACCAAAGCTCAGGGGCGTTGGAAGTGAGGACCCGGCTCACCTCCTAGGTAAGAAAACTCTATAGCTGAAGGCAAGGGGAACTTACAGTAGATAGAAAGGAAAAAGGAAGACTAGTTTGGCCTGGGACCTGACGTACAATAGAAACGGGGCTGAGGTCTCCACCTGTATATTCTATGCTGGGGGAGTATCCCAAGTCTGAGTTATTTTTGCCTTCTCGATTTATGTCCTTTTATCTCTTAAAATAGGAGTTGTCATAGTCATAAAATGGCTTTTTCTTCCTCTTCCATTTCCCTTATTTTTGCATATAGGGTTGGTTCTTGTGATTTAATTTGTATTTAGTCGCTAGGCTGTAGAACTGGTGAGCTGGAATGAAGTCGAACCTGGAAGAGGATGCCCCAGCATGGAGATGACAAACTTAAACTCTTCCTCATTAAAAAAAAAAAAAAAGGATGAGGGAAAGACAAGATATTTTAAACGTACTATGATTCAACCCTGGCTGGTGCGGCTCGGAGGATTGAGCACTGACCTGTGAACTGAAAGGTCGCCAGTTCTATCCCCAGTAAGGTCCCAGGCAGGGTTGCGGGCCAGGACCCCAGGTGGGGGCTTGTGAGAGGCAGCCGATTCATGCGTCTCTCACACATCAATGTTTCTCTGCCTCTCTTTTTCCCTCTTTTCCCCCCTCTCTAAAAATAAATAAATAAAATCTTTTAAAAATGTATTATGATTCAATGACGAATCCATATTAGTTTAGTATGAAATGGGGGCAGGGTGTGCATGAGGAAGGTGTAGCCGAGTGAAGAGCTTGCTCAGTAAAACGGGGGTGTGGAAGGGACCTCCTGGGAGCTCATGTGCCCTGCAGGCTAAATCTGTCCTAGTCTTTCTGGGGAACTTATTTTAAGAAGGCTTCATGTCACACCAGCCAGTGCTTTGTTCTTTTATCATTAAAACCAGCAGTTCCTCTGTTCTCTTCGATAGCAAACGGGCCCCCAAACCCTTTGTTTCCCCCACGGAGGAAGGGAGTGAGCGGGTCAGGCTTTAGGAAGTAAAAACTGAGAAGAGTTCACTGCGCTGGCGCCATGGGGTGTTCCCCGCCCTGTGGGAAGCCACCTGCCAGCAGTAGCCCCGTGCCTGTCCCAGAGCAGATTTTCTCTCTTCTCTTAAAAACATAGCCTTCATAAGTGCCTTTACTAAATAAACACAAAACGAATACACAATTTCGGCGCTGCCGGGGTAATTCAGTTGGTTAGAGCGCAGTCATCCCAATACGCCAAGGTTGTGGTTTTGATCGCCGGTCAGGGCACATCCAAGAAGCCGCCAACGAATGCATAAATAAGTGGAGCAACAAACTGATGTTTCTTTCTCTCTCTCCCTCTTAAACAAATCAATTAAAAAAATACACAATTTCAAACTGTGATAAATGCTATGAAGAAAAGGAACAGAGTGTCCGGGGATAATATAAAGGGAGTCAGAGAAGGTCGATCTGAGAGGAGATCTAAAATATAAGAGCGGGAAGAGACTGGGAGGCGGAGAGAACAGTGTGTGCAAAGGCAGCGTCGCAGGAAGGAGCGCCAGGCCCCGCTGCAGAGATGGGGCGCCACGGCTGCGGCCGGGTGCTCGGGGCCGGAGGCTGCCGCCTCTAGGATGTCCCCTGCCATGGGGAAGCCATTGGGCGGCTTAAGGCAGGAGAGGAGGGTGGCGACAGGATCAGATTTTCATTTTGAAAATGTCACTACATCTGCAGCGAGGCAAGCCAATCGGAGGGACCCAGTGAATGCAGTTAGGAAATAAAACTGGACCCGAAAGGCCGCGGTCGAGGCTGCGGAAGGCCGGAAGGCCCCGGGAGGGACGCCGGCCGGACGCCGGGGCCGGCGTGCAGCTCCGCCGAAAACCAAACCGGCCCACGTGGGCCAGGCCGCCACGCCCCGCGCGCAGACGCCGCCGGGCTCCCCATTCGGCGCCCGGGGCCGGCGATCAGCTCGGGGTCCGCGCATCCCACGCCTGGGCTCGCGCGGACACCCAGGCCAAGGGACCCCTCACTCATCCCCGAAGGCCGAGTTCCCGCCGTGAGGCCCGTGGAGCCACAGCCGCGCCGGGGCGGGCGCCTCCAGGCCGTGAGTCGGGCGGTAGGGGTTGGGTTTGGGGCGCAGCCGCAGGGGGTTCGGGGGCTGGGAGGGAAGTCGCAGCCTCCGCACAGCTGCCTCCTATGGGGAGATTAGGGAAGGCTGGTCTCTGTCCTCTGTCTTCGGGGGTAGGGCGAGGCAGGAAGGGAGGCCGATTCCCCCCAGGCCCAAACCCTGGCAAATTGCGGATTAGCTTGGAGAGAAACCTGATCCTGGGGTGTCTGGGTTCCCATTTTACCGTCTCTAAGAACCCAGTGACTCGTGACCACCGCCCCCCACTTCCGCCGCATCCCAGCTTCCTTCATGGCCCCGCCCAAGTTTAGGAAAAAGAAAACATTTGGACGGGGGAGATTGCCAAGCACCTTTTGTAGTGAGGAGCTTGTAGGTTATAAAGGGACTGTCCATACGCCGTCCTCGCCCCTGCCCCCCGGACTTCTGCTCACTACTGGATGTGGGCAGGGTCCCTGTCACTTACACTATCTCTCAGCCTTACTGATATCCGAATTTTCTAATTCTAGTGCTATGTGGTCAGTTGAAGCCTCTTGTCAGTTGAACCCCTAATTTTGGTAGAAGCCAGTTATTGAGGAGGAAAGAATAGTATCGTATGTCCTCCCCCTAGGGCATCAAGATGGAGCAGCTGGGGGCAGAGACGCAAGATAGTATAGTAAGTATGGAGGGAAGAGGGTGAAGTTCAACAGACTTGTCGATAGGAGGGTAGGGTCCCCCCTGGGCAGAGGAAGGAACTGAACCCAGCTCTCCCAGCCCTGGGTGGTCAGCAGGAGCCTCCTGCTACTCTTCCTGAGCATAGATATCGCACTGCAGCCTCCCCCCTCCCCCATTCATTTACCCAGCAGCAGGTATGGCCTGACACTTGCTTAGGGCCCGGCTCCATGCTGCCTCCTGAGTATATGATAGAGGATATATAGAGAAGTTCCACATCTAGTTAGGGAGCCAGATTTATAAGCTGCTATCACAAGGCAGTTTTTAAAAAGATTGAATAGACATTTACTGACCATCAATTATGTGCCAGGAGCAAGAAACAAACATGAATTAGACAGTGTGTACCCAGGGCAATGTAGACCAAGAGAAGGCAGAGTTAACTGTGTTTGTTTGTATATATTAGGGCAGTGCGGAGACCATCAGGATGGCTTTAGAGAGGTGGGGGATATTAGAGCTGAGTTTTGAAGTATAAAAAAGGAATATGATAGGTGGAGAAGGGAGGAGGGGAGAGGAGAGGAAGGGTATTGTAGGCCAAGGGAGTTGTGTGAGGAGGATTGCAGTGCATTTCTGAGATCTCTGAGCGGTTTGGTGTGGCAGGTGGGGCAGAGAGGCAAGAGGTAAGTCTGGAGGCGTGAGCTGGGGCCAGATGAAGCACAGCCTTCTAGGCCATGTAGCAATTTAGCAGGAGTTTAGGGAGCTGTGATGAATTACATTTAAATTTGTAACTGGAGGCAGAGATCAGTGAAAAGGCTGCGGCAGTCAGTAATCCGGGTAAGAAATCGCCTGTATATTCATACACACACAGAGATTTGTGAGAAGAAGAATTATCAGAATTTGGTGGCCAATGAGACAGGGGAAGGAAGCAGAATAAACAGTTGGAATGACTGAGTGAAGAGTGAGACCATTTTGCTGAGGCCGCTGAAGAGGGAGAGCTGGTATGGACACGTGGGATTTGAGGAGCCTGTGGTTGGTCACAGAGTTAGAGAGCAGTTGGATCTCAGCGGCAGGCAGATCTGAGAGTCACCAACACATGATGCTCCCGGAAGCCACAGCAGAGGATGATGAGGTCATCTGGGGAGAAGTGCCTAGACTGAGAAGGCAACCTGCCTCAGGGGGCTGAGGGAAACCCTGTGCAGGAGACTGAGAAGCAACAGACAGAAAGGGAGGAGGGAACCATGAAGGGGGGTGTTACCAGAGTGCAGGGGAAGGGCCTGAGAAGGAGCAGCCAGGCTCATGCTTGCTGCCTTGTCCCTGCAGCTAGGTTGCCTGGACTCTTGTCAGGGCCCACCCCGTTCTGCTCCGACTCATCCTTCTGTTTCCCCTTTACTGACCAGATGTTCGCCATCCAGCCGGGGGTAGCTGAGGGGGGCCAGTTCCTGGGAGGCCCGCCTCCTGGAGTATGTCCGCCTGAGGTCCAACCAGACAGCAACTCCAACTTCATGGCGAGTGCGAAGGACGCCAATGAGAATTGGCATGGGATGCCAGACCAAGTGGAGCCCATCCTGGTAAGGAGCTCCTCCAAGTTGCCCTCTGACAACCAGGCCTTCCAGGCCCCTGGACTCCCCGAAGGAGAGGTCCGCAGCCCACCAGAGGGGGCAGAGATCCCCAGAGCTGAGCCTGAGAAGCTGGATAGTGCTGGCACAGTCTGCTCCCCTCTGGAGGACAATGGCTATGCCAGCAGCTCCCTAAGCATTGACAGCCCTGGCAGCAGTCCTGAGCCCGCCTGTGGGACCCCTCAAGGCCCTGGCCCTTCGGATTCCCTTCTGCCCTCGGTGGTCCAGGCTGTGCAAAAGCTGCAGGCTCAAGAGCGCTACAAAGAGCAAGAGAAGGAAAAGCACCACGTGCACTTGGTGATGTACCGCCGCCTGGCCCTGCTGCAGTGGATCCGAGGCCTGCAGCACCAGCTGGTTGACCAGCAGGCCCGCTTGCAGGAAAGCTTTGACACCATCCTAGACAACCGAAAGGAGCTTATCCGCTGTTTCCAACAGAGGGCAGCACCATCCAAGCCCCAGGACCAGGCCTAAGAGTGTGCCTCCGCTGGGGTACATATTTGCAGGCATGTGTGTGGTTGTACTCAAGTACATGATTATTAACTGGTATGAGTGCAGGTAAGCATAAGTGAGCATGTATATGCTAACATGTGCCAGGCATGTGTGAATTAGCACCTGTGCATCAGCTTATGTGTGCTGAGTATACACACAGGCTAACTTATGTGCAGGCCTATGCGTGAGTATGTCCATCTGTGTATGTATGGCATGTATGTAAGAGGGAGTAAATTTGTACATGCATGCACGAACAGGTACCCAACAGTGTGTGCATATGTACATGAGTGGAGGCATATTGTTGGCCCTTGAACAACACAGGCCTAAACTGCACAGGTCCACTCATATGTGGGTTTTTTTCCAGTAAATATGTACAGTTCTGTAAATGTATTTTCTCTTCAGATTTTTCTTAATAACATTTTCTTTAGCTTACTTTATTGTAAGAATACAGTATATAATACATATAACATACAAAATACATGTTAATCGACTGTTTATATTATCAATAAGGCTTCCAGTCAGCAGCAGGCTAGCAGTAGTTAAGTTTGTGGAGAGTCAAAAGTTATACATGGATTTTTGACTGATTCAGAGGTTGGCGTCCCTAATCCCTGCACTGTTCAAGGGTCAACTGCACATGCAAAAGATGTGTGTGCCTGTGAGTGAGTTTGAATGTGCAGACTTATGGCAGGTATATGAGAGTGAGCTCTTGTGTGTGTAGCCCTGAGGTGGGGTGCCCGTGTGTGCAGGTGCAGGCATGGGAAGTATATATTAGGAACATGTGTATTTTCAGGCAGACTCCCGAGCAAGTGTGTGCAGATATGTACTCAATTGCACATGCCGGGCATCCATCCGCACCCTTTGTTACCCGTGGCCTGCCGTAGCCTTTTTATTCCACAGGGTCCCACTGCTTCCTGGAAAGAGGGCTGCCTGCTGTCATTTATCTGAGGGAATTAGTGTCAGGGAGGGGAGCTGGGGCGGTGAGGGGGAGGTAATGGACAGTTGAACTCTGCCCCTGGGCACATGGGAGATGGGAATGGGGAGATGATGGTGGCAGAACCCTGTGAAGAATAGGAGTTTGGGAATTCTGAAACACCGGTTCCAAACAAACCACAGACCTCTTCTCCTCTGCAAAGGAGCTCATGCAGACCACGTTGATTTAAGCTTCGGATGAAAAGGAATGTGTGCTTATGAGCTGCTTGTTGGGTAAAATCTCACTTCCCTCTCTGTGCCTCTGCTTGCTGTGCCTCTCTGACTTTAGCAGCACTGGATGTTCAATTAGTTTGGTTTTGTTTCCCTGAAATCAAATCACTGTCCGCCCCAGGAGGAGACACAGCCCCGCTATCAAGGGTGTGCAAGGGGCAGGGTCAGCCCTGACTCTGTAAACTCTTAGGATGCTGAGTCATGCCCCCTCCCATCACTGAATGGCCCTTTAAATGCCGACAGGCTCCAGCAGAAGCTCTGTGAAGTAGAGAGCTGGTGAGTTCTGGGGAGAGCCAAAGACCAACGTAGCCAAGCACTCTGTTTTGCTTCTGGGAGCCCAGAGGTTGCAAGATCCTAATGGATGAGCAGTGTCCTGGAGGTCAGTGACGCTGCCTCTGGCCCTCAGTCTCTCTACCTGCAAAATGTGGGGGCCTTTTCTGACTGTCCCTAAAGAGTTCCATCCCTAACAGGTAAATGCGTGGAAGCAGTGGGGAGAGAGGCTGAAGCAGTGACCCTGGGGACTTTGTGTCTAGTTCTTGCATGTTGAGCGTGAACCAAGATGAATAAACAGGGGCACAGAAATGCATTTCTTGAGTTTGTGTTTCTTTTTTTTAAGGTTTTATTTATCTTTTGAGAGGGGAAGAGAGAAAAAAAAGGAGAGAAACATCAATGTGTGGTTGCCTCTCACACGCCCCCTACTGGGGACCTGGCCTGCCACCCAGGCATGTGCCCTAGACTGAGAATTGAATTGGCAACCCTTTGGTTTGCAGGCCTGCACTCAACCCACTGAGCCACACTAGCCAGGGCTTGAGTTCATGTTTCTATTTCACAGGTCATCTGGTGGCCTCTTTGCCATATTGTCTGAGCTTCCCGTTTGAACAGGGCTCTGAGCTGGGGGGTAGGGGTGGGGGAAGACACTGGGGAGGAAGAATCCAGCCTGCTATGGTTGGCCGTCTTGTGGTAGGGAAGAGAGGTCTCTTCTCAGGGGCCTCTCAGATTGACAGGGGAGACTTGGCCTCTGTAGAGCCCCATTTGGGATTGTCCTTGTCTTAAGGCACTTTGGGCCCTGAAAGGGGGGGCATCGATTGTGAGGGTCACTCCTCCTACACACACACACAAACACAGGCATTACAATACTGTGCATCAGTGGTCCCCAACCAGGGAAGCTGAGGCAGGACCCCAGTGGATGAGCCAACCCAGCCAAGAATCGTTGTTTCCCATCGGGCACGCTGGCCATCGAGCCTGATTGTGGGAAAGGCGAAGGCTACTGCTGTACTTTCCGTGAGGCAGAGCTGTTCCAGGACTGTCTAGACTGCCTCCACCTATGGCAATGGTACAGACTGAATGAGGAAATAGACCTGAAGATGCATTGTATGTATTAAAACAGATTGAGCATCTCCACAAGATCCTGCAGAGCCTGCACCTGCTCTTTAAGCAGGTCTTGCCTTCACTGATAGATGAGACTTTCATCCAAAAGATTAGTGCACAGGCCGCTTGGAGCCTAGGGGAAGCTGGTCCTAGCTCCCTGTGCAGATCTCTGCCTGAGACTCGATAATTTAGGAAGTTGTTTCAAAGTCACTGAGTGAGGATGTTTTAGTCCCTGGGACAGCAAGGGGAGTAGGGAAGGTCCATTTGCTAGACAGGGGATTAGCTAGTTAGCCGCCTTCCCCTTCCCACCAGAATGAAATCCCATGACCAGGGGTAGGGAAGTCTGACTCAAATTTCTGGGGCTTCCTGAGGAGTCTTGCTTGATATGAATGAGGAATGAGATTGGGGCTGAGACGCAGAGCACGGGACAGGGCACACAGCAGGGGCCTGAATGTGCAGGGCTGGGTCCATGGAAAACTTTCTCTCCGGAGACCCCAGATAGGTCAGTTCCATCAAGCGTGGTCAGAGGGGATGGCCGAAAGCCTGGGGTGCAGGGCGTGAACTGGGAACTGAGCAGAAAAGTAGAGTTAAGGGGATAAGGAGGCCTCAGATTGTGGTGGGAGGGCTCCCCCCCCCCGCAGCCTGGACTATCAGGGTTCTATGTAGATTGAATGCCCCTGGGGGAAGCCTATGACCTGTCTACCAGCGTGTTTCGTATGAGCCTCGCCCAAAACCCAGTATTAGTGTCTCCAAATCACAGCCTGAACAGGTGACAGGAACAGGAAGCAAGGAGATCACCTGATCAAGGAAGGCTTCCTGGAGGAATAAGAGCCTAGAGAATGAATTGAAGTTGAGGCGATACAGGATAATGATCTCTGGTGCAGACTGGACCCAAAGGTCTTGGGGGCAATTGGTACTTCTCCCACAGGGTTATGTGAGAGTGTGCACATATGAAGGACTTACACCTCAGCCTGGCACATAGGAAGGAGTCCGTGGAAGTTTACCTGACTAGGACAGGAGGGGGAGGCCAGCAGAGGTAGGAGATACCCTGTGCGATGGTGCTGTATATTCAAATGCATTGCTAAAGGGCCTTGAGTCCCAGACCCATGAGTTTAATGGAAGCTGGTGGTGAGAAGAGGAGCAAGAGATGGGGATGCTCTGGGGCCCGATCCAGGCCTCGAAGCCGCACTCATACACATGCCCACACCCACCAGGCACCGTCAGACAGGCACGCCGGACACCACGCCTGTGCATGTGTGCGCGTGCACACACAAGCGCTCACCCTCCCAGATGTGCACTCCTGGACCCAGACCCGAACGCGGGCTCCCTCCTCTCTCCCACTGCTCTTAGAAACACGATCGCTCCTAGTCTTGGGGGGCGGGAGGTTTCTCACCCCAGCAGCCCCCTGAGATTCTCCCTGCCCCAGCACGGGACAGCCAGAAACGTGTCTGCTTTTCCTCTTCAGGCCTGAGGGCTTCTTGTCCTGGCTCCGCTCCTCCAAGCCCTCGGCTCGGAACCGTCCATCCTCCGACCGCTCCATTCTGAGGGCGGTGCCGCGGTGTCCGGGTTGGGGAAGGTTCTAGGTCCCCCGAGGGCCTGCGTCTCCCACCCACCCGGGATGAAAGAGGTCCCGGGCCGTGAGATGGGAGCAGTCAGAAGAGTTCCGGGCAGGGGGCCGTGACCCTGACCCCATAAGGGAGCGCAAGGTGGAGCTGCAGTGCTCCGCGTCCGGTAAGGAGAGGGAGGGAAGCTGGCGTTCAGCTGGTGTTCTCTAGGCGGGGCTCGGCCGCCGAAAGGCGCAGACAAAAGGGCGGCCTCCTTGGAGTCCTGAGGACCCGGGGCTCCTGACAAAGCGGGGGCCCGGGCGGGGCCAAGCCCGCCCCGCGCGCCGGCGCGCCCTGACTGCTGATCCGCACCGTTGCCAGCGTCGTTTCCTGCGCTTAATCCCAACAAGCATGAAAACGGCTGGGGGTCCCCGCCAGCAGGCCCTTTGTCTTGGCCCCTCGCGGGACAGCTGCAGCCGGGATCCCTCCCCTCCATTTGTGATTCCCACCCCCCAGCCCCTTACCGCCGTCCCCGTCGTCTCAGCTGCTCTGAAGGCCAGCAGCCTTCCAGGGCTTTCGCCTCAGGCCCTTGGGCGCACAAAGCGGGGCAGCACCTTAATCTGGGGGCGGGAGGAAGATTAACCCTAGGGCCCACAGGGAGGGGTGCGGCCACAGAGGGAAGGGCAGGAGAAGAGAGGGCTGCGGGGTGCGCCCTCCGCTGGGAGGGTTGAGGTGTGCAGGGGTGTGTAGGTGATGTGAGCCTGCAAGTGAGAACACAGACCTGGGACTGGACCTGCGGGTGTGCACGTCTGAGTGCGTGCGAGTTAGCGTGCCCGAGGGGACTCTGGTGGTTCCGCATGCTTTTGGGACTCCTCTAGGCAGCCCCTGAATCCAGGGTTCAGACAGCTCTCCCCAGACCTCAATGTTCCGGTGCGCTGGCCTGGGACCTCTGGACCTCTCCTCTCCACCCTCCTCCGGGGATCTCTTCCACTCGGTGCCTTCAGTCCCCCGTCACACTCGGGACTCCCAAACCTCTGTCTCCAGCAAGGTCTTCGCCTCCCGCCCAGATGACCGACAGCAACTCAAACTTCCCATGCTCCAAACTGAGCTCATCTCCCCACCCACAAACTGGGTCGTTTCACTCAGTCATTTGGCCCGTGAGTTTCAGCCCTCCAAGTCACTCCCCATGGCACTCAGTCACCAAGTCCAGTCCCTTCCAACACCCGAGAACTTCTCCACCCCGTGCCTTCCTCTCCATTTCAGCTCTTCCCACCTTGGTTCAGGCCTCCATCATCTCTCACCTGGACAGCTGGAAGGGCTCCTGGTCTGGCTCCCTCCCTTCCATTCAGCACACTGCTCTAGAGAAGGCTCCTACAAGACTGCCCCAACCTAACAGCAACCTTTCCAAGGCTTTCCAGTGGCTCGACTTGTTGAGCTTGGTCTACAAGTCCTTCTCTGGTTCCTGCATCCTCCCCGGCCTGATCTTCCCCCGGGGTCTAGTGTTCCGCAGGTTTCTGTCTAGTCCCCAAAGACCTTCCTCAAGGCCTCCCGTGGAGATCTTTTCCACTCAGGAAAGGAATGAAATCACTGTCTGGCCTTATTCCTCGCGGATCCATCCTTCAAGGTCCCAAGGCCCAGGGACCTACAGGGCAGTGGATGATTCCGGGAGGCCAGACCCACCAAACATGGCGTGCACTGGCCCAGCCTTGCCTACTCTGTGCCTGCCACATGCAGGGCTGCTGGCTTCCTCCCAGGCTGACGAGGTCCTGCCCTTCCTTGGGCTCCCTCAGGCCACTGTGGCTGCAGAGACCACTCCACTTTCCTGAATCCCCAGGGATGCTGGGCACCCTTGTCTCTGTCCCAAATCCCTCAGGATGGGCCACATCCCCAGAGGGCCCAGAGCCACACAGTCTGCAAGTATGTCTGAGTCACTCTGTTCGCGTCACCATCATCGTCAGACACCGCCTCCCAGGCACCACCGGGAACCTGTCGCCAAGGGGCTCTTCACATCCTCATCTTAGTCACAGACAGGACTAAGACGAGGCTATCTGTTCTTCCATCCAGCAAATATTTATTATCGTCTACCAGGGGCCAGGTCCTCCACTAGGCACCGAGGTCCCGGGTGAATCAGCACATTTCCAGCCTGAGGGACTTCACAGTCTATCCAGGAAGACAGACCCAGACACGGGAGATGGGAGTGTGATAAGTGCTAATAGAAGCCTGTACACGGCTGCGGAAGCACTTCCCAAAGCATGTTTCAATGGGCGGGAAGTAAAAGGTTTCCGTGATCAAAGAGGCTTGGGAGACACTGGGTTTCAGGATGTTAACTGGACTTGTGTACGGCAGGTCCTCAGGGCCTCTCCTGGGTCAGCACGTGCTGTGCATTCCTAGGAGAGGAAGCCTGGCAGCGTATGGAGAGGGCTCCTCAAACTTGTTTGAGTGTGTAACCCTTTTTTGAGTGTCCTGGGGATCACAGGTGGGCAACACATTGCTGTGGTAACCTAGAGAATGGAGAGAATAATTCTATTTTGGGGTAGGGACAGGAATGACGGAGGCACTCGTCTAACAGATGAGGAGACCGAGGCAGGGAGAGGAGAAGGGAGATCTTTCTAGCTCATCTAGAAATGGCA